ATAAAGACTAATTAAAAATTGTGGTTAAAATTTTAAAAATTAAAATTAATAAATTTGTCATTAAAATTAAAATATTTCAATTCACTAATGTTACTAAAGAGAAAAATGAGATAAAGACTAATTAAAAATTGTGGTTAAAATTTTAAAAATTAAAATTAATAAATTTGTCATTAAAATTAATAAATTTCAATTCATTAATGATTTAAACTCTATCTGTTATTCACTAATTTTAAATCATTAAATAAAAATTTTTACTAAACATTTAAATTATAATAATAAATAAATTTAACAAATACTTACATTCCACAGTTTAGATAAAATCACTCATCACCGCCTCCAAATGGCAATATCAAACTGTTCATAGCAAATTGGCCTTTAAGTGAAGGGCGGCAGTCACGTCGTGTCTTGTGAGTAGAAGGCCATTTACTTTTACACCTAAACCCCCACTTGACGGAAGGAAAAATCACATGTCGTTTAACTCACATGACAACAGGTGACTGAGGTTGTTAACATAATGGCTAATTTGCCAAGAACGGAACATTTAAGGGCTTTGCAGTTTGCATGCCACCTTTTTTTTTATTTTTATTTTTTGAGATCTTATGTGAGAAAATAGGGGAACACTGGGTTTTGTCTCTAATTATCTGCACCATCCATGTGATACCTCACTTAAATTTTCACAATTCAAAAATGAAAAACAGAAAAAAAAGAAAAGAAAAAAAAGGCTAATTGATTACCTGTCCAAGTTTCAAATGTCTGTCTGTCAACATTTGTAAAATTCTCTGTACCATGATTCAAGCTATAACATCTGTCAAGCACTAACTGAAATGAATTAGATTGCAAAATTCTCAAATATAGAAGTAGATTTTTGCTTATTATTTAGTGCTTTTGGAATAAAAGGGTATCTGGGTTTTGAGAAAGTTGACGGAAGATATAGTGTTGCAGTTGCAATTTGACCAATTATTTCTTACCGTTATAGCATAGAATAAACTGAGATGCAGGCAGAATGGCTCATCCAAATTCTATGGTGAACATAGTTTGCAACAAGTTGTGACAGATGTCAAAAGAATACAGTGACAATAGTTAATTAGTAATAAAGTTTATGGTCACCGAAACATTCAGAGTAATAAAATATTGCCAAGAACATGGATGTATAAGGTCTGCTAAAAAAGATAGAACTTTGACAGGAATGAACAAAGAACTGTGATATCTGTCAAGTATCCATAGGTGGGATGGAATTCCTGGTTTCTATATTTACTATTTCCTAATTTAAAAGCTGGTACATGCATATGTGTTTCTTACATAAATCATAACCTGAAAAAAATTAATCTGTTCATGTAAAATAACCTGCATATTAGCAATCTGTTAGAGAATAAAAATACAAAAGAACAATGAACATAGAATGAAGTTATGAAGGGATGGTGGAAACCTTGTGTCACAGCTTTGGTCCTTTGGAGATGAGAACATCTCCATAAGGCATCTTTTGCTGAACTCTCAGGAAATCATGGGATGCAAGAACTGCACAGGATAGCAACCATTGATCTCAGTTTTTCATTAACTAAGATGGTTTAAAAGTTCACGCTTAACTTTAAACAACTAAAATTGAAGTGTTATATATATCAAATGTAGGTGTTAGGAGGATATATTTATGCAATACCACAAGTCTGATAGAAGAGCAGAGCTGCTCCTTTTCTGTTCATTCCAGCAGCTAGGTGGTTCAGAGACTCCACTTGAGGGGCCCCTGGAGTTTCAAAATGTGTTTTCAAATGCCTGCAACCAATTGAGTCAAGAAGGTACACAAGTTGATTGAGATATTACATATATATCTAAAGTTAGCTTTAGACTAAAAGAAATTAGTAGAATAAAAGAAACAAAGTACATTCGGATGGTATCAGTCATCTTGTCAACAGGCTGACTGATGACTGGATATTGTGTTGGTGTAGGTCCAGTTTCCACCAACAATTCTGTAGAAAATGTAACGAGCTGTTTAAGTAAACTGTTGAATAAAGAAACAAATCCAGAAACTGTGGCCACTGCTATAGAAGAAGAGATAAGTTGTTTACCTTGATCAGGTGTCTGATCCTTTTCTGATAGCCTTGATAACTTGAAAGTTGGATCGGGATGCCTCATTGAAGTCTCTTCAGCTACTGGATCGAGGCTACTGCCACTATGTTTTGATGAAGAATAAGGCCTTTTCTTGTTGGACCTGTTAGCAGTCAGTTTATCGAACTCCAAAAATAAATAGCTTTTTTAACGAGGCTGAAATTTTGGCATTCTTGAATGATATTTTTATTCATGGTTCAAATAGATTAAAGAAATAACTGACCCTTCTGGTGTTGAGCCAGCAGATCTCATTTCACCTCCTGTAATTTTTTAATTTCACAAGCAGAACTATTTAGAATATCACCACACTCATGCAATAACCTCAAAATCTCTTAAGTAATGAAAGATAAAAGCATTAGAGAAGGTAATATTTTACCAGAATTCAATGGCGTGGCCATCACATTATCCTCAGGTGCACTTGAAGCATTAGCTACTCGCCTGGCTTTTAATTCGTCAATGAGGATTTCCACAGCATCATTAACAAGACCAGTTCGTATCTTCTCCATGGGAACATCCATGGATGGGGAACCAAATCCATTGTGAAAATCATCAAAGGGCTTCACATTTCAGACATTTAGTCAGTCAGTTTCAAAAGTTTACCTGGAAGCCATCTAGGGGGACTATCTATGAGACTTACATATCTCATCGTATCATGAGAATTTAGTCCATCTGGTGGTGACATGGATGACGGTTCTGGGGCTGCTGCTCCTAAAGTCCTTGCTGCTTAAAATGCAATTAGAGATTATTTCTCTGCAACCTTCCATCAATAACCTAAGAAGTGAGAATGAGTAAATCTGACCAGAAGGTGAACCATGGAGAGGTTGAGTACTTCTAATCCAGAGTTCCATGAGAGGTGCTGGATAATGGATTTCTTGAATTCCATTACTAAACATATCATCCATCAGTACTACAGCTGGGAGATCCATTAGTTTAGCTATCTTCATCCTAGACATGATATTTGTGCATGCCTGCAATTGTATGGCATACACATCAGATGGTTAGCAAAATAGTTGAACCCTTACTATTAAAATCTTACCATTCATATTTTAGTATGCATGACTTGAAACTGTCACTCAACTTTTCTTGGCTTATGTCATAAGTTAGTTCAGTGGTTAAACATAATAAATTGGATGCACTCAAGTGATCAAATCAGTGCTCATAAACATACCTTTCTCTTTCTTCCTCTTCTTGAGCTGATATCTGAAACATTTTCAAACCAGGACCTGTATGTATGACCAGGAATTATAGTTTGTTGATTATCCATGAAAACTGCTGGTCTTCTGGTTATCCTTTTTACTTGTCTTGGTGTCTGCTCATGTTCATGCTTCAAACCAGGAATTCAAGGTTAGTAACAAGTTTTTTATTGGTCCTTTTCATATTCATCAATAACTGTGATAACAATGATAATTTTAAAATAATTACCTGTTTAGCTTCTGCACGTTCATCAGATTGCTGATTGCCTTCGCGTTCTGGATGCTGATCTTGGACTCGATCAACTGTGGCAGTTAGCATTCACACAAAACTTGATCATTCCTATGTCTTCACAGTTTAATGAGAACTTGAAAAGTTTATAGATATTACACAGAGATAACTTATAGCAGGGCTTTTTATTCAATTTAAGTTTGGATGATTGGTGATAGGGAAAATAAATAACTAATTGACCTCTATAACAACATTTAAAGTAAATAAGCCCTGCCCTTTCTTTCCCAATTCATTCATCAGGATGTATGCTTTCTCCAAGTTGAATATCAAGAGTTGAGGCTAGAAAGAAGTGCAATTGGGTAGTAAACCTTAAGAATAACAACTAACTAAACCTTCAAATCTCTTAGTTGAGGATCTAACTATGGAAGCAACAACAACTTAAGCAAGCATCTGAAGAGGCTAACCCTAAGTGGAAGCCATCATATTGCCATTTTTTTACACAATTTGTAGAATTCAGTGTAGAAACTATATGGAATAAACATTTAGCTTTTTACTCCTTTCTATATATTTTCTTAAGGGACAGCCTAACAATTTGAACAGAAAACTTTCAAGTTGGAGGTTTGAAAAAGTTTTTATTCCCTAGCTATTCGAATGACATTTCTATGACCATTGAAGACATTACCATGTTGCTGACCTCCTTGAGGACTGTCTTTTTGTGGTGGAGAAGGTACAAGAGTACTTGGCATCTGTGTAGGCTCTCCAGAAGTGTTGTTCATTTGTGTCTCCTCATCACCCTCTATATCAAATCTGCCAGGTTTATCACGTAAATTAATAGCATATATAAAGATTTGTATTCTTAAAGTATGGAATTAATGAAATAAAGGGGATCCTGATGTATAGGAATGAAGAGAACTTTTCAGTACACATATGCTCTTCCAAGTTACCTAACTTAAACAATATTCAAGGATGCATGCTTTGAAAACCTTTAACCTAGAAAAAATAAGAGATACCAGCAGGTCTAAAAGTTGACAACAAATTTTGAGCAGCAAGCCAGCAAGTCACCTTTCATATCGATTGTAAAATTCCATATTAGTCTGATATGAATCAAATCGTTCAAATAAGGTGATGTTCTCAGCATCAGCTGCGAGATACAGAGATGTGGTTAGCCTAAAGGAAAATATAATTGTAAATAGACGTTCTCAGCAAGGCCTCTGAGCTTGAAGTTAATGGTTAACTAGGAGAAAGGAAAGTTCATGAATAAAAGAAACCTTGATGATAGAGTTGGAATGGATCTTCATTCCTGGGATCATTGTTAATATCAGGTTCATCGACATCATCAAGTCTCTGCACATCAAGAAAGATAATGAAAAATCAGCTTTAAGGGAATTGCAAAAGATTCCCAAAGAACTGTTTTATACCATCTAAGAATATGTTATTCTGTAGTTTACTCCTTGGATCATAAATTTTATGGGGCCACTTCTTAACACAGAACTGCTTTTCACTCAGATTAACTTGATAGGAAGACAGCAATCTTATGAATCAGGACAAGGGGAAATGGCGAATAAATAGTTCTATGTTTGCCCACAGAAAAAGAAATCGATAATCGATAATGATCTAAAAAATGAGAAATGATCAAATGAAGTTCAAGTGGCAGTCTTAAAAACCCATAAAAAATGGGAAATTGCCATACAAATAAAAAGGGGAAATTGTGTGATGTGAATTCTCCGTGCTAGTAACAGGACTGACTTTTTCTGAGCGATAAAGATTGAAAAAGTCCAAACCTATCGTGCCACCCCTGCATTTGAATCTGTCAATGTAGAATGTTAATGACAAAACTTACCACGGCAAAAAAGCCAGTTCGATGGCAGCCCAAGGTGGTGGTTGAGTTAGAGAAATTAAGGGATTGCTCAATATCTCCAACATCCTTCTCCTTATTTTCAGGAAGAGTAACAGCTTCTCTCCTGCAAACATGGAGACACACTAAGTTAACCCTTCTCTGCAAATTTAACTCCCCGTCCTCTTATTCTAATTATGAGTAATGAAATTAGCCGAGCTTGTTCATTATAATTGCAAACTGAACCCAGGGAGACCAGTATAGCTTAGCCAATTTGCGCCATTTCCCCCAACAACAACGAGCTATGCCCCTACTGGTTCCCTACCTCCAAAACGGAGGAAAAAAAGATGCCTTATAATTTGTAAAAATATATATTTTTTATAATACACACTATATATTAAAAATACATATGCATTATAAATTTATTAAAATATTATTTTATTAAAAATATTTTAATGAATATATAAGTAAGGATTATATTAAGGATTACATTTTTAATATCTAATTTACTTTATAAAACATTAGAATTAGAAGAAATACCTGGCTTGGGTTTTCCCTTTCGGGAGGACGGTGGGGTCTTGTACCGCTTTCATCTTCCACGCTTCGTTCATCTCAACCTGAGAATATGAAATTTTCCCACTAGTACATCAAGAAATCTAATATCACTTTTACCATTGAACTATGAAGAATAAGAGTAGTAACAGAGAAATAATACAGAAATGAGATTGATTATACAGTGTTAATCGAAGTTTAGGTGAGTACCAGAAGCCGGGTAACATCATCTGTTAATTGAATCAGAGTGTCAAAACCCAATCGAAGAAAATAAAGAGTTAAATAAAGTAAACAAGGGTCTGAGTTTCACCATAAAGGAGCTTCACTTTTCGCTCGTAGACAATCACGACTCCACCTGATTAAAAACAGGATTAACCTCTCCCGTTACTTACAGATGTTGAAATTTCAGAATAGAGAGAATTAAAACACAGCGAATTTAAAATTTGTTTACCCATGAGGATTCCAGAGAGCCTAAGAGCCATAGGAACTGAGGGATTCAGAATCTCTTCACTGCAAAAAATAATAACAAGTTAATAACCAAAACGGAAACATCTCAGTTTGAGGAATTGATTATGCGTTAAATGAAATTCAAAATAAAATAAAATAAAAAATGAAATCGAAGGCAACCAAACAAAAAAATAGTTACCAGATTTTGATTATGTTGAGCTTGTTTAGCTTCCTCCGATTGATCTTCGCATGCATGGTCGCCGCCATCCTTCGTAACAGTTTAAAAGCAAAATAAATCCGAATTTGATTCCCATTTCAAGTAAATCTTGAAATCAAACTAACGAAAGCTCATATCACTCTTTTGCGCTCTATTTTTAGATAAAAAAAAAAAAAAAAACCAAACAGAGTGAGGATTTGCGTACA